CTTTGAAAATTCAAAGGAACATGAGATTTGCTTAATTATCTTTGAGATTTTACGTATATTTAGATTTTATAATATGTAAAAAGGGCTGACTCAGTTCAAATACCCACTTAGTGAGTGTCCGTGGACTGTGGAAGGGAATAATCTAGGCAGTCTTGCCCCTGCTTTTTGTAGAGGCTGATTCGAACCCACAAACTGACACACCACAGAAAGCAAGCTTACCGCTGAGCCAAGGGTGTTTGGATAAAATCATCATCAAGTATCGATGATTGGACATAAACGTAATGAACTATAGCCTATGTTGGACAAAATACGATGGTTTAATACCGAATTTGGATGGAATGAATCTTAAAGGTCACAAACCAGTTATACGTTTGTGCCAAAATTATTTTCATGGATAAGGATCTAGGCCAAAATACTCTGTAATATTTTATCATTGGTGAAATACTTTTGTGATGAAGATGAATGAAAATGAAGTATACTAATAGGATGTGTTTGTGTGAGTGTTTGGGGAGGCAAAGCCTTCCGGGAGGAACTAACGTATATAAATGAGGGGGATATTGAACAAATATAAATAAGAACTCATCGAGTTTGAGTGTACTTCTCTACTTCCACATAGGGATAAGATCTACATATGCACATGCCCTACTTTTTATTGGGTTTGTTGTTGTATTGAGTTTGAGTTCTTTGATTTTCCTCCAGATCTTCTTTATAATTTTCGCCCTATATCCCATTTTCTATTCCAAGTGCTCTATAGAAGGTTCAAACAACAATAACAAAACCTAGTATATAATCTCCACTTCGTTGGAATCCGGGGTCAAAATGTATACATTCCTATTCCTAAAAAGTAGTTTGTTTTCGTTAGACCCTTGATGTGCCATTTGTATCAAGTCTATCATTTCCCCGGAGCTAAAACATTGTCACAGATGACTTTTTTTATAGCTTCATTGACAATGAATGCATGCAAGATTAAGACTTTGAAATCCATCAAACAAATTTATTTATTTTTTGCTGGATTTCTTTGTTGCAGTTCCATGCAAATTGCATTGACCCTTGGCTAAGGCAGCAGGGGACATGCCCTGTCTGCAAATTTAAGGTTGGGTCAAGATGGGAGAATGAAGCTGGAGAAATGGATGCCTCTTACATGGTTTAACATTTGCAGGGTTCGGTCCTCTCTATGTGAAGATGATGATGATGATGAGTCCGTGTATAGGTGCGTAAATGTTCCTTAGTGTACGATTTGGTAGAATATAAATATTGCCTCCCGTCCGGATTTAGTTGTCCCCTTTCTTGTTTTCATTCATCCGGAATGAATTCTCCTTTTTCAATATGCAATAATGAAATTACAATGAATTGTCTAAAATGTCCTTGAAATAGAGTATGAACTCATTGTTAACATGAATGAGTGGTAGACTCATTTGAATGACTTATTTGACACTTTAAACTCATTTCTTGCAAGTAAGATTACTGAGAACGGTGACAAACTATATTCGGACATGAGTAATTTTTTTCATAGTACATTCCACAAACGATCCTCTAAATTTGGGGATATTCCACATTTAGTCCACTATATAGTGGAATATTTATAATTGTAGAGGACCATTTGTGAAATTTACTTGTATTCTTAAAATTTATCTATAAATGCTATCTTTCTTCTCATTATGTCTTACCAAACACATCCTAAAAGGATCATATTAAGTGCAGATAAGCTGATACTAGAAGACATCCTACTAAAGCAGGCAGCAAATTGTGTTTTTTTATTACTTTTTGTTTTTTTAGCCATTAGATTTTCTAAGGCTTTTGTTAATCCTATATGTAGTCTTGATAAACATGACACAATTTGTATGTTTAGGTATTTTTACCAAATTCCATCTGTCACCTATAATCTATGGAGTGTTATCTACTACGAGTATATTTGTACTCCCCATTTCTTTGTTTTTTGTTTGTGAAGGAAAATATTTTACTTTTGATTTGGAAATCACAAATCATTTTCTTAAACAACGTATGCTTTTTTAGGTACTTTAACAGATGTTTGGTTTAGCCTCTCTATTTCCAAGTAGAGCCAAGGTCTGCGTACACACACCCTAGATCCCCTACTGTAGTGGGACTCAACTGGGTTGTTGTTTAACAGATGTTTGGTTACAAGAATTAGAAAGGAAAAGTAAATAATTTTTTTTTCCTCACCAAAATGGGATGAATTTGGTTTTTCCGCCCATTACTACTCATTGTTTTTTCATTTTTTTTCTTTCTTTTTTTTTCCCCTCTAACCAAACAAGAAAAATACTCCCTCCGTCCAAAATTAATGTTCCCAGTTTGACTCGGCACGCAAATTTATGTGGAATGAAAATTAGTTTGACTTTACTATTATACCCCTCAAGCTTTTAGCCCTCTCCCCCACTGACAACTACACCCCACCGCGGCCGCTGCCACTCGCCGTCGAAAGCTCACCGCCGCCGCCCCTCGCCGTTGAAAGCCGCCGCCGCAGCTGCCCCTTCTCTGTCGAAAGTCCCTGCCGCAGCCCCCTCGCCGTCGAAAGCTCGCCGCCGCCGCTGCCCCTTCGCTGTCGAAAAAATTGCATTTTAATTTCGGTCAGATGCAACGGTAGGAGATGCAATCGGTCAGATTTAAATGCAATCGGTAGGTGATGCAACGGCGTCGGCGACCTACCGTTTACACTTCCGATTTAAATGCAATCGGTAGGAGATGCAATCGGTCAGATTTAAATGCAATCTTTTCTATTTTAATTGTGGTCAGATCTGGTCAGATCTAGATGCAATCTGGTCAGATCTAGAGGGGGAAGAAGAAGAAGAAGAAGAAGAAGAAGAAGAAGAAGAAGAAGAAGAAGAAGAAGAAGAAGAAGAAGAATCCGTAGAAGATGAAGGAAAATTCAGAAGGGGAAAAAGAACAAGAAAGGAAAAATCTTAAGAAGAAGAAAGAAAAGTAAGAAAAAGTGAGAAGGGGAAGAAGAAAAAAGAGAGAGAGTGAGAAGGAAAGAATCGGAAGAGTAAACGGGAAAAGGAAAAAAAAAAGAAAGAAAAAAGGGAGAGGAGAGGAAAGGAGAGGAAAAGTAAAAGAGAAGGGTAATTGAGTCTTTTTAATAATAAAAAGTTGCCAAAAATAGAAATGAGAACTTTAATTGTGGACATCCAAAAAAGGAAAGTGAGAACTTTAATTATGGACGGAGGGAGTATTTTTCTTCCACTTTTTTTTCATTCTCAAATTTCTTGAATCGAACATAGTGGAAATTAGGATTAGGTTTCTCGACAGCCTGTGAATGGGGCTGTACCTCTTGAGATTAGTTATTAGAAATAATATAAAAAATTCTCTACCTCTATAGTTTTGAGGGCTCGAAGGCGCTCAAAATTCATTCCTATCTGAAATTGAGGTCATGTGCAGGTGAACGCCTTGCATCCACCATTCTGTTTTACTCCAAAATTTACATAAGAGATATTTTATTTTATTACTAGTTAGAGCACGGCAATGGCAAATAACGAAATGAAATGCCACACGTTAACGTGGCACATTTCAACCAATAAAAGACAATTCAGTCGGGGTGTGGCAAGTGAGTGGAGAGGCATCTCGTACAGTGGCAAGTCATTGTTTTTGTCAATTTTTATAATTTTTTAATACATTTTAATTATTAAAAATTATTTCATTTATCTTTTTTATATAGATGTACTCTTTTTTTTAAAAAAAAATTATTTCTTCTAAAAAATAAAAAAATAAAAAAAATTGAAGATGCCTCGCGCCTCACACGCTTGGCGTTGAGGGAGGCTGAAGCCACGCGAGGCAAAAGTGCCGAGGAAGCTGATGTGGCGCAGCGAGCGAGGAAATGCCTCGTTGGTGCGCATGCTCTTAATGCTTGCATAGTAATATCTAATAATACAACTATGTTTTATGATCACTCTCTTTAAATTACAACGTAGGACACTATCTCAATTGAGGCATTTACAGTGCTATATTCGTAAAATGAGAATTCCTATCCCCCTACCCATGTAGTAAATCCTTTACCCAGTCTCAACTCATAACTTCATCCTCGTCAATTACACCATGCAAGTTTAGTTGACTTAGAAATCAATTTTATTACTCCCTCTGTCTGGAAATATTCTTCCCATTTTTCTTTTTGGTCCGTCCAGAAATATTCTTCTCATTTCCTTTTTAAATATATTTTTTAAGAATAAATTTCAATAATGCCCTTCTATTTTATCACTAATCTACTTTTTTAGTGTTTTTTAATAAGAAAAGGAAATTTAAAAGTTTATAGTATGTGCATTTTTAAAAAATTGGCATTTTTAAACTATTCCTTAATAAGCGTGCCAAGTTAATACGAGAAGGATATTTTCGGACGGAGAGAGTATCTCAAAGTCAGCTAAACTTGTGAGATGCAATTGACGTGAGTGGATGATGAGATGAGGCTAGGGCAGGGACATAATATGTCATGTGATCTCCAAAAATCGAATTAGTAATATGGAAAGTTTACCTAGCAAATGTCAAAAGAAGAATGAATTTAATTTAAGAAAAATGCTAGGGGTACACCAAAAGTGTGCCCCATATGTCCCCCACCCCTCCTTGTCCACATAAATGGGCAAAAAATTTAAAAAAAATATAAATAAATAAAAATCAAATAAAAATGAGTGGTAGAGAAGGGGTAGTGTACATTTGGGATACACCTTAGGTGTAGCCCTAGCATTGCTCTTAATTTAAAAATTAAATTGACAAACAAAGACTTATGAAACATTTTTATGCTCTAACACGAGAGTCTCTTATTCAAATTTTGAATCATCTTAAACACGCAATCTACTAATTTTTGTAATAATAATTATCTTTTTTTATCAAACGGATAATAAAAATTGTGAAGGGTAAAAATATTCCATAACCGATTTTGGTTTGCTTGAGAGAAAGCAAATAACATTAACTTGCACAAATCCGCAACTTGATTTGATGAAGTTACAATTATACGGAGTAATATACGAAAACAAGTTTAAGGAGTGAAATATGAATCAACCACAGTAATTAATTTACTTTTACAACAGCGCAGCTTTCCTCCTCGGTGTAATCAGGGCGAAGAAGAGCTCGAGATCCGGCGGCTGAAAGTACCCTCCCGCCGGCGGTTTCCTCTTCTCCGCCCTCCTCCTCCCGTAATACGGCTTCTTCCGCGGCGGCGGCGGCGGACACACCTTCGCCTCCGGCGGGAGCCTACACCCGTCGTGCCTCGGCGTCCTGCAACCCTCCTCCGCCTCCGCCGCCCAATAATCTCCGCTCCTTAACTTCTTCATTATTCAGAAACAGAAATTGTTGATAAAATACAGACTCTTTTTCAATCTGGTGTGTCTCTATATATTTATATATAGATACAGAGCCGTCCTTCTTTTGGAAGCTAATGACGTTTTGACTCGGCCCGAATCGTAGAGTGGAAGCTGAAGCTGGCGGTCGTTTTGTTTCAAGCGGGAAGTCACACGTGGCGGAGCGTGAGTGGTTGTTTTTTTGGAATGCGCGGGAAGGATGTAAATGGGCTGGGATTGGTTTTTTTTTTCAGGCGCTCGTATTCTGTTATGGGCCAGCAAATGCTTTGATCCGGCCCAGTTCATTTGATGGGTGAACGGATAGAGTCACGAATGAGCTCTGTTAGCTTATTCGCGTATAATACGCGTATTATACACCCGTACGTATAATACGCGTATTATACTCCCGAATACGAATTTTTCAAGTGACAAACATATAATGCACGTATTTTTTACCCTAAATGTATTTACGAATTTTATACGTATTAAATCGTAAAAAATTTCTTCTTTCGATTCCAATAATCAAAATTTAGAAGGTCAAATTTTTATCTAATCAATTTACTTGATTGTCTTCTTCCCAAAAATACAAATCTTCAAAATTTGTCGACGCAACAATTGTAAAAGTATTAGAACAAGAATGCAGGTCCAAG